CCAATGGACACAGACAACAGGGGGATGAGAGCATGAGTGGGGGGGGGGTTGGGAGTTAATGGGGGGATGAGGACACATCTGTAATACCTTAACCAATGAAGAAATTAAAGATTAAAAAAACAGTTGGGGAATTTAATGTTCCATCTCAATAATTTGTAAAAGGGAAGAAAATTGGCAAGGATATAGATGACTTGAACTATACTACCAACAATTTGACCTGTCATTTGTAGAACACTGTAAGCAATAACAGCAGAATCTGTACACATGGTAGATTCTCAATGAACTTAAAAGTATTGAAATATTAAGCATGTTTTTCAACTTCAATGGAATTTTAAAAAGGAGAAATTATACAAAGTATGTTCATAATGGATTAAATGAGAAATAAAAGATATTAGGAAAATAATCCAAGATGGATCAAAGATAAAGTTTCAAGAAAAATGAAAAATATTTAAAACTGAATGAAAATAAAAATACAACTTATCAAAATATGCAGGATGCAGCTAAAGCACTTATTAGAAGACAATTTATACCACTGAATGACTATGTTTGAAAATAAAATTATCTCGAATCTATCATCTAAACTTGCACCTTAAGAATATAAGAACTAGCCCTAGCCAGTTTGGCTCAGTGGATAGAGTATTGGCCTGCGAACTGAAAGGTTCCATGTTCAATTACAGTCAAGGGCACATGCCCGGGTTGTGGGCTCAATCCCCAGTGTGGGGCTTGCAGGAGACAACCAATCAATTATTCTCTCTCATCATTGATGTTTCTATCTCTTTCTCCCTTCCTCTCTGAAATCAATAAAAATATATTATAAAAAAAGAATATAAGAACTAAACAGCAAACTAAACCCAAAGATAGCAGAAGGAAGCATGTAAATACTATGAGGCAAGCCTGGAAGATTAGTTTGAACTTTGATTCTAATAGAAAAATACAAGCTTTGCTAAAAAATGAAATTCTCCACACCTTTATTTCCATTTATTTTCTGGAAGTGCCTAGTGACAATGAGGTATTTTCCTCTAGGCAACCATTTTTACCAGTAATTTTCTCTCAGAATTAACTACTTTAAAAGAGAGATTCGTGGGCCAACTTGAGATTTGGTGAACTGGTAATGCCATAGAAAGTAGGGCCATGACTTTGGACTCATGAAAAAGGAAATAGAATCCTAGCACAATAACTGACTATTCCATGAAAAAAAATTTACGTTGACATAATAATGTAAATACTATTTGTTTTTCAGCTTTTAGAATGTATAACCAAAACACATAAGACATAATTATGGTTGCAGATTAGAAGGTAAATATTATCAACTTTGACAATGTGGAAGATAAAAGATCCACAGTAGGAACAGCAGGTTTAAGGGAGAATAATACAATCAAGTGACAGTGTGGAGAGTAAGGGAATAATTCCAGAATTTGTAGTTCAAGAATAGAGTACATAATACATTAAGATACAAATGGGATCATCAAAAAATGTATCAAAATATGCTGGGTGAGATGAAGAGTACTAGAAAGGGATAAAATTCTCTGATCCCATTCTGCAGTCACTTTCTTAATCCTAGAAATTATGTTACATTTTATTTCGAATGATGGAAGTAACATGAAGCATTACAGCAATGATTAAGAGAGCTTAAGGAGCCGAAACCGGTTTGGCTCAGTGGATAGAGCGTCAGCCTGTGGACTGAAGGGTCCAGGGTTCGATTCCGGTCAAGGGCATGTGCCTGGGTTGCGGGCACATCCCCAGTAGGAGATGTGCAGGAGGCGGCTGATCGATGTTTCTCTCTCATCGATGTTTCTAACTCTCTGTCTCTCTCCCTTCCTCTCTGTAGAAAATCAATAAAATATATTTTTTTTAAAAAAAAGAGAGAGCTTAAGGAAAACAGACTAGAGCTGAGAAGTGTCAGGACAGGGATTGGTATCTTTCATCATGGTTTTTTCAGATAATTTGTTTTTTGCTATGTGCAGCATGTATGTTTTGTTTAAATAACAAACAAAACAACATATATAAACACCACTGATTATTCTGAGGCTCATTCCCTGGTGAAGGTATGTTTCCCATCTCAACAACAGAGTCAATCAAACACTGTGCAACAAAGATGAGCAGATTACACTGTACACCATGGGCTATATTAGTGCCCACGGTTCCCTAAAAGCTGTGAGTCTATTTTTCCAATATTATGGCTAAAGAAACTGTAGCCCACATAAAGTAATGGAAATATGGCATGTTTCCTACCACCAAAATCGTCCCCATGCTATATACAAATATATTAAAATCTCAGTTCTCACTGCACATGTAAAGAAAGAAAGCCTCATTTTTGGTAACTGTCTTCATTTGGGTTTCCCAGAATACAAAGCCTAAGACAGTTAGTAAATACTGGAAGCAGGAGTAAGGGAGTGGGAAGAGTACAGAAAGGAGGGAAGGCTGCCACTAGTGTGCGCTATCTCTGTTCTTCCCAGGAAGTGAACCAAATGCTTTCCAGAATGGTCAGCCCAAAGTGCAGGAGGCTATTGCATTTGTCCTCAGCTGACCTCTCCCTTTGGTGGAGAGTTGGCATGGAGGCACAACTCCCTTACATCTCAGGGCCATGCTTGCACACTTCGCACCTGCATAGCAGGCCCTGCGTTAGAAACCAGGGGTGGATGTTTGCTGGGACTCTGTTAAACCACTGAAGTGTCCACCACAGCTCTGGCTGGAATCAAAGGCTC